CAGGTTTGCCTTGAATTCCTTGATATATTTTTAAATCCGGATATATATGATTATTTTGGGATATATTGACTGTATATGTTGAAAATAAACTTTCAATTGAATTGCAAAATTTAGTTCCAGCCCCTTTCTTTTTTAGTTTATTAACTAGAGTGGGAACATGTACAGAATCATATGCTTTGGAAATATCAATAAAAGCTGAAAAAATTTTTCTATGTTTTTTTAAGATATAATTGAATAATTAAAGTCAGTAGAAAAATAGCCAGCTCTGTACCTTTTGATTTAGTGAATGCATATTGGAATTGCAAATTTAAGCCCTTCTCAGAGGACCAAATTTGAAATCGTGTAGTAAGTATTGATGTAAAACACTTTTTTAAATACAGATAGTAGAGCAATAGGACTGTAATTTTTTGGATCTGTTCGGATTTCCTTTTTATAAAACATAAGAATTTTTGCTGTCTTCCATGTATATGGATATATTGAGTTGTTATAAAAAAAAGTTGAAAAGACCAAGGAGAATCTGTTTACCTGTTGGTGGCAGAAGTTTAATAAATTTAGTAGTAATTTGATCCATACCAGGATCTGTTTTCGGTTTTAAGTTTTGAATTGATATATTGAGCTCTTCAGCAGTAATTGGTATGTCAAATATTACATTGAAGGGATTGATTATACCAGTCATTGGAGGAATAATAATTTCTGTAAATCTATTAAAGAAACAAGCCCAATTGGAAAAATCTATTTGAACTGTTTGTTCAAAATTCGAGCATCATAATTTCTTTATTGTAGACCATAGAAAGTCATAAGATTTATTTTCTATAATTTTTTGTTGTATTTTTTTAAAGTAATTTGATTTTTTTGTTTTTAATAAATTGTAGTACATATTTTTAATTCGATGATATTGTTTGAAAGCAGTAGTTGTAGATGATTTTCTAAACAGATGTAATGCTTTGGTTTTTTCTTTTTTAAATTAATACAGTCCAGATCATACCATGGGTTTTTTGGGCCTTGAAATTTCGAATTTCTAATCTTATGTGTTTTAACAAATTCCTTTATTATATTTTCAAACTTAGTATATTTTTCAATACCCTCTGTAATATCCTCATCCAATAAACAACTCATCCTATCACTAATTTGCACTTGAAATCGTTGATAGTAATAATCGGTTATCTGATAGTTACTTTTTATATAATTGCTATGATAATTATCATTCGACCCGAAGTAAGATCTAACAGGGAAATGGTCTGATGAGTCACAGTTTAAGACTTGAATTTCTGAACATAAGTCTACCAGAAGTTCCGAACATATTATCAAGTCAATTGTTGAGCTACCAGATGTAGTTACACAAGTAAAATCAGATGGATAATCCATTAAGAATATATAATTGAGCCTGTGTCGTTAGTTTTAGAAGATAATTTCCCATTTTATTCTGTTTAACATCCTTGGATTTATGAATGTTTTGGATTTTTGTGTTCAGTCCTTTATATTGCAAATCCATAGACTGTGCAATGCGAGCATTTAAGTCATCAATAATAATAACATAAGGAAAGGTATTTTTCAAATTTTCATATTGACAAAATATTTCATATAATATTTGCTGTTGCTCTGGAGGAACATATGTCAATGTTAGTACTAAAATTTTATTTTTTAAGTTAACTATTTCTTATTTATTAATTAATAGGTGCACAATTATATAATTATTACTTTTCTGGATGAATATAATTTCTCCCAATTTTTTTTATAAATAAATTTAGTCCACCAAAAGGACGACCCGGTCCTGTTGGTTTTTGAGTCAATTGTGTAACGATATAATAATTTTCATTATCTTTAATCTGTGAGTTGGAAAATAAGGTCATCCACATTTCTGTAATGGCAAGTATATCTGAGTTTTCCAACAAAAATATAAATTTGCTAGTAAAAATTTTCCGCAAAAGACCTTGACAGTTCCAATTAATAATTACAAAATGGAAGTCTTTCTGATTGTAAACTTTATGATGTAAACTTTGTTTTATTATATATGTTATGGACAAAGTGATTAATTGGGCATTATTCATAATGACCAAATAGGGCGGGCAGTGTGATAAATATTGATTAATTTATCAAATTGACCGATCATTATGAATACTGCTATCACCTAGTCAGGCAAAGTGATGATAATAAGTTGAGGAGTGATCATCTGACATACGCTAGCCAATCGGCACGCTGAGTTGCGTGTGCGTATCGTACAGCGTTTAGTACAGAATTTTAAATTTGATTAAAAAAAACTCCACTTATTTCATTTATAAATATTTATTTTTTGTAAATTATATCAANTTTTTGTTAGTGCTGTGGGGTGTTTGACCACCCCAACTTATATTTTTGTTAAATGAAGCATGTAAGTAAAAATGTATGAAGTTTTATTTATTTATTTGGTAAAGGCATGCATCATTACACATATGATCATATTTAAGTATGATTATATAATATATTAGTACATAAATGCATCAAGACAATAGAAAACAACATTTATCAAAATTCATTACACTAAATCTAAATATATAAAATTACTTGTCCTGACTGATCGACTGACTAAGTCACTGATTCATCATCGCCCAGAGCAAACCACTGAACCTAAAGAGGTGAAATTTGGTACACAGTTAGGGTATGCCATGAGAATGCACACTAAAAAGGGATTTATTGAAATTCCCCAGTGGGGAAGGGAGAGCATTAAGTCTTAACTGGAAAAATGTATTTTACTGTACTGTTTTAGATGCAATTTTTGTTTTCAACTATGTTTAGTCTTCATTGAGTACTTAGGTGTATTAAATTGATAATATTTCAGACATTGTTATAAATATTTTCATACATTTCGATTTTTTAACTAAATGTTCAAATTGTTTTAAATTCAAATTTGTTATTGCATATTGGTTTGATTATAGAACGATTGTAAACGTTCCGGAAAATTGATCAAATTGAAAACAGTTCATTTGATTCTCAGCAATTCTCATCATTCTCAGAGGTAGGTGTTATATAAAAATTACTATGGTTGTTGAAACACTGAATATAAATGGGGTTTGCTTGCAAAACCATCGTGGGCAAAGTTGCGGGTAACAGCTAGTCTTTTTATAAATTCAATAATAGAAATACAAATTGCTTTTTTTCAAGCATTCTAGTCACTCTGATTCATCAGCAGTTATTGTACTTTTGCACTCAATGCAATATACTAGGAGTGATAAAGAGACACCAGAAATCAGTAGGAAACTGTGCATTTTGGGCAGGTTCTTTCAGTTGTTGCCTTTCCTTGAATACATTATGAGGACGAGCACGAACTAATGCACTAAGTTTTTTCTCTACCACCAAAGTGAAGAAATGTGTTCCTCTCGCAGGAGTTGACGAAATACTGTAACAGTTTTTGAGCATGCTCTATACGCAAAGTCATGAATATTAGTTGCAAAATCTATGAATCAATTTTTAAAAAATTTGGGATGTCGAAAAACCCCAGTTCATTAACTCAGGGTTTATGATAGTCTGTCACTAAAAAAAATTATAATCTTACAGTAAATTTTGTAAAAATTTCTTCTGTATTTAAATGTAAAAAAATTTTAATGATATACTGCAGATGATGCAAAATATAAAGATTATATATGTAAAATTTGTAAACCAGAAATTTCATCATTTTTCTTCTCGTCAGTCATGGAAAAACATCTTAAGACGTTTATATATTATGATTCACAAACGTAAGTTGTGCTACTATTTTAACACTTGGCAGTTTTCCATCTTTATTTAGTTGATATGAGTACGATTACATGTTTCGGGCACTGCCCCTCTTCGGTCAACATGAGCTCTTTTATCTTATATATACCTGTATTCTTTCTAAGTTGGATAAAAGAGCTCATGTTGACTGAAGAGGGGCAGTGCCCGAAACATGTAACTGTACTTATATCAACTAAATAAAGATGGAAAACCACCAAGTGTTAAAATAGTAGCACAACTTGTGTTTGTGAATCATAGAAATTAAGAAACCATGGTTTCAGAAGATTTGTAACGTTTATATATATAAAAGTCTCAGATGTTTATTCCAATTATAATTATCATTGCTGCATTTTATTTTTGAATTTGAGTTGAAAGCATGCATGTTGCCATAATAAGTATAATTGTGAAATTGCAATACCTGGATATAAAAATGTTTCTATCCAGATAGAATGCTGTCTAAATTGTATATAGTATTTTATAATTTTTGCATATGACAGCAAATTGCATATCCAACTTTTATCAACAATCAACTTTAATTCCCAAAATGTTGCAGCATATTTGGGGCCTATAAGGAATACTTTTGCATTAGTACTGCAGTTTTAAGAAATGATGTGTGGAAAAAGTCTTAAGTTACTCTGTCAAGAATTTTAGAATGTATCAAAATTATGTTTAGATGTTTTGAAAAATGTGCTGAATATCAACAAATAAGATCAAATCTTGGATATTGTTGGTACTGGGAGAGGCATCACATCATCATATCAATATCCCATGGAACAGAAAGTCTAATTATATTTTTGAGAACTTGTTAACAATAGTCAGTCAATTCTACAGTTTACAGAAATATCAGAGAAATTATTTTAGATGTGTAGCAATTTATTTCTTGTTTTTTCTTGGTTTTAAATTTTTGTCTAGATTTTTTTTCTACCAAATTTCTTTTTTACTTTGCCACATCATAATAATAACTAAAACACAACAACATAATAACTAAAACACAACAAAATACCTACTTATATGTAGGTATTTTGTTGTGTTTTAGTTACATTTTAAGAAATTGTTAATGTTTTGGATTATATTATAATTTTTCTTATTTCAAATAATAGAAAATAGGGATCATTGTGTAGCCAAGAGATTATAGATTGGTTTATATCGAATACATTACGTAAAATTTTTAACAATTTATTTGGTATAATAATCATATGCTTATGATAAAGTAATTAAATATTTAATAAAATTTAAAAATCCAAATATAAAATTTAATAAATTTTTTTTATTAGCCTGTTCATAAAATAATTGAATTCTGTCAAGATATGAAAAATAAAGGGCTAAATGAAACTGGATTATTGAAAGCAACCGTCACTGCATTATATTTTCAAAAAATTGGTAAGTAACAAATTTTTTAATGTGTGTTTATAATTAAAATTTTAGCAATATAATAAAAAATACTTGCACAGAATTAGTAAAAAGTACTAGTAAAATAAGTTTGTCTTATATTACAACAGTATCTCAGTACTTTGAACATCTAACTATTCTAAAGACATCTTGTAATGCAGCTTCAGATGTCTGCTTGCATACACTGTAATTCCTGGGGAGTGGTTTTGACATATATCCATCAAAGCATATACAGTAGTTGTAAACAAGTGTGATAACAACAGTTGCACCTATTTATATGTTTGCTTGCATTTCTTGTTCTTGATGTACCATTGTCAATTAAAACATAAAACATGTAAAAGTTATCAAAAATTACCCTATAATAGGACTCTGTAATCCAAAGGGACTGGTTTACTATTGTGAGATCTGCGATTTTACACATTTGTCTGAAATTTGGATTTGTCGAGGAATTTGTAAACAAATTTGACAGCAAAACAATCCCGGAAAGAATTAGATCAGAGGTTACAATTAGTCATAACAATCCGATGGGAAAAGGAACTCATAAGTGTCAACTTGGCACCATAATCGTCAACATTGGACAAACAAGTGATGCTTTTTCTCACGACAAGGGGATAAAAGAGAAAGTCACCAGAAGCTTGGGGGAGCGATTAATCAGGATGTCAATTGGTAGTTATGTGCATTTTCATCTTTTGGACCTCCATAACCCTGACTGGACCAAGAAGAGGAGAAGACACCGGTTGGAAACCCATCCACGACAACGACCCATCCAGATGAATGAAGTTCTCCACATCGACTCTCCAATACACCTGAGATGTATTTTAAAAAGGGGGCTGAAACTTGTAAACTCTATCTCTGCATAAAATGCATTAGAATAGGGAACTTAGGTCAAGCACACATTTTGTAAGAATTTGTTGTTCGCATTTGTAACCGCATTTATCCATTTATAGATCTGTATCTTCTAGATTTAGTTTATAATAAATTTTATATTTTGTTATTGTAAAACCTGTCTTTTGTTTGTCCACGGACCTCTGCCAACTTACCGATGCACTCCTGACTCAATTTGCTCTCCTAGCCATTCAACGACCTTGAGATCGGCTTTTACCAGCCTGTGCAGATTAAGTGGTCAGAAGGAACCCCTGATCCCCTGCTTATCTCACACTATTATTATTTTATATCCTGTCTGTTACTTACACATAAATTTATAATAAATAAATGTAAAATTGAATGAGTGCCAATATAAAAGAAAAAATGATGAAAATGGTGAGATTTTAGATGATGATGCCAATTCAGTAAATGTAATTCATATAATGTAAATATAAAATTAAAAAAAAATCAGACAACTTGATTATTAGTTAAGATTAGAGTTAGTAATTAATTAGAGTTAATCATAAAATTAGTTGCAAAGTTATAAGCTCTACATAAGGTGATTAAGTGATAAGATGAAGGCTATAAAATAAGATACCTTAGTCGTTTTTAAAAGCTGAATCATAGAACATCTTGAAATACAAGACTGAATAACAACAATTTTAAAGCCTTAAAAGTTACTTAGAGAAGAATAGAATTCACAAAATATATAAATCAGTTTATGTAATTTGTGAATTCTACATTTATACATTGATTATATAAATGAATGTATTGAAAATATATTCAAATGAATATTTTGCATTTTATAGTCTGTCATCATAAGATAGCAATTATATGATTTAATTTAAAATGTAACTTAATAATAATTTTTTATTTTGTTATATATATATATATATTGCTTGTCAAATATTATTCAATCATTTTATTGTAATAGATAATCTTGTTACAGGGGGGTATTAACAAAACTAACAAGGATATTTATTTAAATTTTGTTACATTAGATCAGTGGTTCCCAATTTCGCGTACCCCAGGAAATTGTGTGAAGGGGTACGCGAGGCAATCTAAAATCGGTTGATTTAAAATTAAAATGCATGAGATGAAGCAATCAAAAAAATAATGGATGGACCATCAAAAATTTGGCAATTTACAAAATGATGTCAAATGCACAAATTTGTTTATTTATAACTAAAAATAATCTTGAAATTTCATTTAAAAAATGCATTTGTGACAATACCTAAATGAAATTCTTACACAAGAAACAAAAATTGTACAATTAACACAAATTGTGTTAATTGTACAATTATATTATTATCATGTCAGCGAAGCGGCAATAAAATATTTACCGCCATTTTGCACAACGTACCTCTGTGAGAGCGGATTTTCGACCACGACAAACATGAAAACTAAACATCGTAACTGACTTCAACTCGAAGATGACTCGAGACTAAAGCTGATCAAAAAGCAACCAGATTTTACAAAGTTGTGCAAAGAAAATCGTGCACATTTGTAACAATCAAAATTAAATAACCTTATGTTATTTTCATTATTATTAAAATTGTATTTTAAAGTTAATAAATGTAAAAAAAAAAAACTTATTTTATTTATCACTAGCTGTCTACCCACGGCTTCACCCGCATTATATGGAATTTTCTCATGGGAATAAGATATTTTCTCGCAGTAAAATGTAGCCCATGTTCATCTCCAACATGTAAGCTATCTCTGTGCCAAATTTTATTAAAACCTGTTCAGTGGTTTAGACGTGAAAAGGTGACAGACAGACATAATTACCTTCAAATTTATATTAGTATGGCTTAATATGAATTTCTGCTATAAGGGGTACGCGAGTTTGAGCTCTTTCTTGAAGTGGTACGCAGGAAAAACTAATTGGGAACCACTGCATTAGATTAATGTTACATAACATATTTACTATTCAATAATCAAGACCATTATTCAGCTTATTTAAAATATAAATATAAAATTACGAATCTTATACATCTTTCATATTGGTATATTGTCAAGATTAGATCAAAAATTTTTTGATTAGCATCAAATATTTCTTTAATTTTAAATTTACGTTGCGTTCTTTCGATAGTTGGACATACGATGAGAATATGATATATATTAAAAGATTCAGCTTTACACCAATAACATTTCTTTGAGAAGTCAATGTAGATGTTACCAATCGGTAACGAATTATAATTAAGTTGAATTTGAATTAGCGTACGCTTAATATTTAATTTGGTATTTGACATAACAATATTCGAATTTGACGGAAAGTGTAACATATTCAGGTACCAATAATGATAAGTCGAGTTTAAAATGGAATCTTGATCTTTAACAATTGATTGAGATAAAGCAGCATTCATCATTAAAGAATATGCATATTTACAATTGTCTTCAGTTGAGTTGAGGAGCAATATAGAAATTTCAAAAGACTGAATAGTTTTTTTTAAATTTTTGATACCATGTAGCCTTTATAGTAGATGAATTTTTATTTTGGTTGCTCATTAACTGAAATAGAAATTTAATATTATCATCATTTGTATTCAACATACGAAAATAAAATTTGAGTAATCGCTTCAAAAAAAAGGAAAAAGTTGATATCGGTTAGTTTCTGATCTAATTGCATAACCAGGCACCGTATGTTCAATATGAAGTAATTTGCTCAAAAAAATAATGTGATACTTCTTTTCCAATTCTTGATAAAGCCCATATAGGACTGGCATAAAAGAATACTGGAACTATAAGTGAATGGAACATTTTCAAATGAATTTTTAGATTTGAAATTCTTAATTATGACGATAGCTAGATAATATTTATGAGTTGATTAATTTTATTATTAAGTTGGTTTAGATGGAACTGAAATTGACTGTTCCAGTTAAAATTAATTCCCAAATATTTCATTTGATTTACTACTTCAATTGGTTGGTTATTTAGATAGAAACCTTTTTCTTGATTGGATATTTTCACATTATTTCTGAAAATAAGAATTTTTGATTTTTCAATGTTTATTGATAAATAAATGGATTTTAAATATTCATTAAGTACATTGATTTTACATTGCAGTATAATGCGGGTTGGGGATAATAGTATTGATACAAGATTGTCAGCGTATAGTATATGATGAAAAGTGTGACCATCAATATAGATTCCTTCATTTTCATTTGTAAACAAATTATTAATCTCACTAATGTAGAAGTTAAACAGATATAAGGTGACAGGTTTGCCTTGAATTCCTTGATATATTTTTAAATCCGGATATATATGATTATTTTGGGATATATTGACTGTATATGTTGAAAATAAACTTTCAATTGAATTGCAAAATTTAGTTCCAGCCCCTTTCTTTTTTAGTTTATTAACTAGAGTGGGAACATGTACAGAATCATATGCTTTGGAAATATCAATAAAAGCTGAAAAAATTTTTCTATGTTTTTTTAAGATATAATTGAATAATTAAAGTCAGTAGAAAAATAGCCAGCTCTGTACCTTTTGATTTAGTGAATGCATATTGGAATTGCAAATTTAAGCCCTTCTCAGAGGACCAAATTTGAAATCGTGTAGTAAGTATTGATGTAAAACACTTTTTTAAATACAGATAGTAGAGCAATAGGACTGTAATTTTTTGGATCTGTTCGGATTTCCTTTTTATAAAACATAAGAATTTTTGCTGTCTTCCATGTATATGGATATATTGAGTTGTTATAAAAAAAAGTTGAAAAGACCAAGGAGAATCTGTTTACCTGTTGGTGGCAGAAGTTTAATAAATTTAGTAGTAATTTGATCCATACCAGGATCTGTTTTCGGTTTTAAGTTTTGAATTGATATATTGAGCTCTTCAGCAGTAATTGGTATGTCAAATATTACATTGAAGGGATTGATTATACCAGTCATTGGAGGAATAATAATTTCTGTAAATCTATTAAAGAAACAAGCCCAATTGGAAAAATCTATTTGAACTGTTTGTTCAAAATTCGAGCATCATAATTTCTTTATTGTAGACCATAGAAAGTCATAAGATTTATTTTCTATAATTTTTTGTTGTATTTTTTTAAAGTAATTTGATTTTTTTGTTTTTAATAAATTGTAGTACATATTTTTAATTCGATGATATTGTTTGAAAGCAGTAGTTGTAGATGATTTTCTAAACAGATGTAATGCTTTGGTTTTTTCTTTTTTAAATTAATACAGTCCAGATCATACCATGGGTTTTTTGGGCCTTGAAATTTCGAATTTCTAATCTTATGTGTTTTAACAAATTCCTTTATTATATTTTCAAACTTAGTATATTTTTCAATACCCTCTGTAATATCCTCATCCAATAAACAACTCATCCTATCACTAATTTGCACTTGAAATCGTTGATAGTAATAATCGGTTATCTGATAGTTACTTTTTATATAATTGCTATGATAATTATCATTCGACCCGAAGTAAGATCTAACAGGGAAATGGTCTGATGAGTCACAGTTTAAGACTTGAATTTCTGAACATAAGTCTACCAGAAGTTCCGAACATATTATCAAGTCAATTGTTGAGCTACCAGATGTAGTTACACAAGTAAAATCAGATGGATAATCCATTAAGAATATATAATTGAGCCTGTGTCGTTAGTTTTAGAAGATAATTTCCCATTTTATTCTGTTTAACATCCTTGGATTTATGAATGTTTTGGATTTTTGTGTTCAGTCCTTTATATTGCAAATCCATAGACTGTGCAATGCGAGCATTTAAGTCATCAATAATAATAACATAAGGAAAGGTATTTTTCAAATTTTCATATTGACAAAATATTTCATATAATATTTGCTGTTGCTCTGGAGGAACATATGTCAATGTTAGTACTAAAATTTTATTTTTTAAGTTAACTATTTCTTATTTATTAATTAATAGGTGCACAATTATATAATTATTACTTTTCTGGATGAATATAATTTCTCCCAATTTTTTTTATAAATAAATTTAGTCCACCAAAAGGACGACCCGGTCCTGTTGGTTTTTGAGTCAATTGTGTAACGATATAATAATTTTCATTATCTTTAATCTGTGAGTTGGAAAATAAGGTCATCCACATTTCTGTAATGGCAAGTATATCTGAGTTTTCCAACAAAAATATAAATTTGCTAGTAAAAATTTTCCGCAAAAGACCTTGACAGTTCCAATTAATAATTACAAAATGGAAGTCTTTCTGATTGTAAACTTTATGATGTAAACTTTGTTTTATTATATATGTTATGGACAAAGTGATTAATTGGGCATTATTCATAATGACCAAATAGGGCGGGCAGTGTGATAAATATTGATTAATTTATCAAATTGACCGATCATTATGAATACTGCTATCACCTAGTCAGGCAAAGTGATGATAATAAGTTGAGGAGTGATCATCTGACATACGCTAGCCAATCGGCACGCTGAGTTGCGTGTGCGTATCGTACAGCGTTTAGTACAGAATTTTAAATTTGATTAAAAAAAACTCCACTTATTTCATTTATAAATATTTATTTTTTGTAAATTATATCAAAGTACTATTAACTATATTAATTAAACTAATATTAACGAAAAGTATTATTAACAATTTTTGGTATAAATTATATAAAAAATTAAATGCTTTTTAGTTTATTTATTTGAGCAATTAACATTTTCATGACATTTGGAATTACATAATTTTTTTTTCTTTGGTAGCATTTGCATCTATTAGATTTTCAACCAATTTTTCAGCAGCATTAACTATAGTTGTGGCCATCAGGAATTGATGACATTCTTGCACATTCTCTAAGCGAAATTTCTGCACCCGGTACATCTCCAACAGAAATAAAGTTTTCTTTACAAACAGTAAATTGGTTTCTGGAATATAATAGATTTAATATGCCATGTTTGGTACCCAGTTTGTAAAGGTTTTTATCTTTAACCGCAACAACGACACCTAAAATATTTTTTCCATCACTGCGGGCTTGATCTTCATCAGGTACACGGATCCTTACTGTATCACCAACAATAGCTGCTGTGTATTTGGAATTTGATGTATTAATCATTTTTTCTGCTTGCTTTTTAAGATTAAACAAAGCCCTTGTTTTAGACACACTTCTTATTTTTTTCTTCTTTTTTTGAATCAATTGTTTGGACTGTTTCTTCTTCATTCACCAATTCTGTAATACTAATAACATCCTGGTTTAGATTTTTTTTCATGTGAAGACGATGTAGATCTTTGAACTTCATCAGTTATATTGCTATGTAAGGGTGGCATTATCAGATAATATTTCATAATGTTTTCTTGGACGGTACCCGGACTTTCAGAGTTTGAGCAACTTTGACTTACTTCGTTGATAGTTTTAAAATGTCTCTGTAGATCCTCTTCTGTATTAACGTTGAACAACGATTTGTTGGATATAAAATTCTTTAGTCCAACTTTTAACTTTGCTCCAAACTTGGCCTCATAGGGCTGCAGTTTATACCAGTATGATGTGCTCAATTTTTAATCAGTAGTACAAAACGTAATCCTTCCGACCATTTGTTAGTATTGTTAATCTCCAACCAAGAACTAAGCATATTTTCTACGTCTTGATTACATCTTTCTACTGAACCCTGACTTTGTGAGTGCCTGGGCTTTCCATGCACCATTTTTAACTCGGACCGCATATTACACATTTGTTTGATGATATTATTGGCGAATTCTCTGCCATTATCGCTTTGTAGAATACTTGGTGCACCGAAAATTGTAAAAATATCTAAAAGACCATATGCTACTTCTTCAGCCCTTTTGGTTTTTAACTCGTTTAATCGGTTGTTGAAGCGATTATTCATATCACTTAATGATTCCTTCATGATCGTTACTTTTGTCAAAGAAGAAAGATTAACTACTGGTCACATAAATTTAAATTTAAAGTTCGGTACTAAATGCAATATGCGTGAGCAAGTAAGATTTAAGTTTTGATTGGCTAACGTATGCCGGATGATCACTCCTCAACTTATTATCACCACTTTGCCTGACTAGGTGGTAGCAGTATTCATAATGATCAGTCAATTTGATAAATTATTGAAATTTATTACGATGCCCAATTTTGTTGGTCATTATTCATAATGCCCAGGCATTATTCATAATGCCCATATTAATCACTTTGTCCATAACATATACATCCAATAAAGAGCTCATCAGTTGAGTAACCATAGCATATGAATCTTGAAGAAAATAATTTTGATTGACCATAAGTCATTGTGGTTTAGTTTTAGATATAGAAAAAGGTTTAAAGGAATCAGTAAATACCAGTCCCTTCAAAACATAGCTATAAGTCAAGGAGTATTGAACCAATAATATGCAGTCACTGCAAAGTTTAGGATTTTGACCTTCTTTTCTTAGTTCATATAAAAAAGGAAGTAATTGTTTTGTCGTAGTGTAGATCTCTTGGTAAGGTCCTGTGCAATTTGAGTATCTTTCCATTCATTCGGTAAGTTTTGCTGTTTCATTTTAATAAAACTCAAATATACATAATCTCGAATCTTAGTATTTTTAAAAATTAACTTAAAAGTTGGATATTCTGATTTAGTCATTGGAATTACCACTATAAAATCGTCCAGAGTGATTTCTTGTAGTTTTAATGTTAAATTAACCAAATTATAAATTTCTAATTTGGTGGGACTTATTTTACTAGGATATCTATATAAAATTATATTATTAGGATGTTGTTCATTTACCAGATAATCCATTTGATATTGCATTTTTTCATTTTCCATTTTCAGATTAGCGATTTGTTGTTCAAGATTAGTAATTTGAGAGTTCATTTTTTTTATTTTGTTCTTTAGTTTCTTGAACACTATTACAAATCAGGTCCAGTTCTTCTTTGATAGAAGTCATTTGATTGAGTATTTGACATATTAATTAATTCAGAAATTTTATTCCATAATGCTGTAGTTGATATGCCAGATGAACTTTTCAGATTATCTGATGAAGAAGAAAAAGGTTCAATTGTCTCACCTGAACATTGTGAACTTTGAAATGTTGTTTCCGGGTTTAGTCCAGTATCTGCAGTAGATGATTCAGGGGAGATCTTTTTGGCATATGTATTGTATTATGTTATAAGTCTAACATTAGATGACGATGAAGTTTCCTTTCTATTATCTGATTTGGTTCAGTGACTTGGCGGTCTTCCTCTTTTTTTTTTTTTTTTTGATAGCGTTGCATCGTAGTTATTGTTATTATCTCTTCTAATAAGTTTAAAATTCTTTAACTCTAATAACCCATGCAAACAAATAAACCAATAAGTACTTTTGGCATTCAATATTCAATATTTCCACTATATTGAAGTATGCAGAAAATCTCACCAACAACTCTGATTGATAGGTGTGCCCCCCATTGCTTGTCAAATATTTAGTTTATCAAAATATTCTATTTATCAAAAAAATAATTTTAAATTTTAGCATTAATTATTCAGTTTTTAAGCATATAGATTGCTTCATTAGATTTTTAAGAATAAATACTTTGCTATGTTGGTGAACAATGTAAATTTTTGAACCTGAAATTCATTTTAAACATAATCAAAATATTTTCTGATTATTCTACTACGAAACAAATTTCCAATGGGTTTCCATTTATAACAGCACAAAATAAAATAAAATGACAATATATTTTATGATGCAGTAAATCTATTATATTTGAAGAAATGAAAATATAAGTGTTTTTGTAAAATGGATAAATAAATTTTTATATATATTAAAAATTTAATTAAAAAGGATATTGTAATAGTTTCTGATCTTTAATGTGTGTGTTTTACTTGTTCAGTTATTAAAAATAACAGCTTTTATTTTTGGTAACTGTTTTTATACTATTTTATGTATTATATAAAGAAACTGCAACTTTATTTTTGACTGAAATCTTGGGTACAAGATTTTCTTAATTATTTAAACCTGAATTTCTGTTTAAACAGTGTGCTATGATTTTCTGAGAAAAAATGGTTTGATTATGAAAAGTTTTAAATTACAAGTTGTAATAAATTTTTGATGTAAAATTTGAATTGCTATTTTAAAATATTATAAAGTGATGATAATTTTGTATATAAACAGTTTTTACTGGATTTCAATGTAATTAAAAATAAATTTATATGCAACTTGTATAAAATATATTCAAAAGTAATAATAAATACATTTTGTGTGTGAAATTATATATTCTTAAGTTTTCTTTCTTTCAAAATTTTTGGCTTTCTTATTTAAGAAAAATTTTATTTAAAATTCAGTATTATGCTTAAAATAGTGTATAATTTGATAACTAAACTAAATGTATTATTAAATTAAGAGTACAGTTAAAGAATATATTAACTATCAGTAAATAAAAATACTTATTAGTTTTTTATTATTTTAGAAATATACAAAACTTTGAAAGTGATGGAAGATTTAGAATGTCCTCCAAATTATGAAACATATTTAGACTATGTATTTCCAGCAATAAATACATCAGATGAAAATTATGTTATTGAAAAATTAAAGGTATGACAGTATTAGAGAATCATTAAATCAAATTTGTGCTTTGTACATTTTCTTATAATTATTGGTTATTTTTCAGGAAGTTTCTAATCAATCAGTTGGTACATTTGTGAATCCATTAATTAATTATTATTTAAATAAAACTGATATTGAGAAAGCAAAAAATTTAGGTAAAGTTTTCAATTACAATTATTTTTATATAATAAATTTATATCATTAATATACTTTTTATCAAAATTTACAAATTTAACTTTAAGAATAAATAATAATAATAATCTTTACAGGAGAATGAGAAAATTATTTATATCCTTCTCAGACACTTTATGCTATGAAAGTAAAGCAAATTTAAGCATTGAACCTTAAAGCAATGATCAGTATGTTCAATGGCCAACCATAAGTGATCCTGTGAGTTGCTTCTTATATGCAGTGATACTGTTCTTCAAGTCTGCTAAATTTATAACATATCTTTGATAAACCTCACTTTTTATGTGCTGTCATAATCAAAAATCAATTAAGATCAGGGAACAAAATAGCCAAGTAGGAAATGTACAGTAGTTTCTGTGATAACACTTCATTAATAACAGAGTGATTACACTGTTATTAGTGAAATATTATCACAGAAAGTACTGTATTTAGTGTTTGATAAATGGAAGTGCTTCACCTTGCATGAAGTTAAGGCATTGTCACTGTTGCATTTAGCATACAAGTGTTGATATCTTGCTATCTCTAGGTCATTTATAGAGCATGTCATAGGCCCATTTGGACTAGCTTCTTCAAAGAAGGGTTGAAGGATAAATGTGGCAGTGAATCTATACCAGACTGCAACTTTTGGCAAGTGCAGGAAAATCTGTTGGAAAATGTAAAGGTTTTCTATGATCCAAGTGTAACAGTTATTGATGATCACTGTTTCACTGAGGTGAAAATGTTGCTCTATATGATCTTTCTGTGGCCACAACATATTCACTTCTATTTTGTTAGTAAGGTCAATTCAAAGGTCTGTTGGATTTCTGTTAAGCTTAGTTAACACTGAGCACGATTCACTGGCGAAAGCAAAAAACAGAGCAAATAATAAGTCAGACATGACGTCATTTCCAGCGAATTTTACCATCTCATGAATCCCCTCAAAGTTCAGAACTGTAGAGTTTTTTGCTAGCGAAAAAATTTTGCCACCAGTCATATTTTGTTAGTTGTCATGTGGTTTTTGTTTTCAAGATGGCTACAAAAACTTTCACTCACAATAGAGTAAATGTTGTAATTACAGATTTTTAATATTCCTCTCACCCAGCATTGTTTCCTTTTTGACATATCTTTCTTTCTCTGTAAATAAACAAATGTGTTAATAACAGAATATTGGAAGCAGACATTTTGTTTTTTGAGATGACATTTTCTCTCTCTTGCAATGATTGGCTCCAAGTACCTTCTACATTGTGCCATGGGATACACCCAACTGCTATGACAGTGCACATGCACTATGGAGATTGCAGTATTATTCATTGACCAACAATAGCTGTAGTTATATCTGCAATGACTTGTGAAGTGATAATTTTGATTGGATGTCTGAGTTTAACCCTCAACTAAATATTTAGGTTTCCCTGAATTTGAGTGATCATTCTTCTGAATGTTTATGGAATCAATGATCCTAGACATAAATTTTTACAACAGCAAAATTCTTAAATTGCAGCACAGCATTATTGTTGTTTTCATAAAACAGCTTCACTAGAACTGTTTTATAACAAGGTGATAAGAATGACACTCAACAGTTGTAGCATATTTCCATAATTTTTTTTGCAGAAATGTCTTTTGCATGTCCTGAAATGTTAATGTACCAGATTTGATTTGGACAGATAAATATCTTTATACAGTGTGTAGGCAGTGATGAATAGGGGTATTTAATTACAATTGCCTTATATTTATAGTATGAAATTTGCATTATTATTCATTTGTGAAATTTCCTTCAAATTGTTCTATAATCTGATTTGTTAGAAGTATCATCTTACAAAATTTAATATAACATATAATTTATATTAATATAATGTAAATTTGATATTCAAAATTTAGAAGAGACTATACATGAAAAATACAATGCAGTAGACTCACTAATTTGGCCTTTCATATAATAATATACTACCCTTCAATGTGATTGCCCATGTACTTTCATTTCCATGAAAATGTTAGTCATGTCACACATCCTGTTTACTTGTGTTTAATTTCTGTGTACTGTATTATATTTCAGTATGCTGTCTTATTTGCCTGCCTGCTTCCAAAAATAATAAGTACCATAGGGCAATAGGTCATGTCATTTATCTTTAGGAAGGGTGTAGGCCTATACACTATTGATATTCTGGCATCTTCTATGCAAGGGATGACCAGATTAATGAGTGTCTGCTGTATTATGTAGATGATGTGTAAATGAACATGATTCAAATTATATATTTTCTAGTGCATTTATCAATATTTTATTGCAACATCTTTTAAATCTCATGTCTTTATAAAAATAATAATTCTTAACAATTATAATTTATAACAATTATATTCTTTAATATGCTGATTGTAATAATTTTTGTATTAATTTAGTGGAGAAATATCCTATTAGATTAAGTGCTTCTCTTATTCGCTCTCTTCCAATTGCATTTAAAAATTTGGGAGATGCAAGAGCAACTGTAGAGGTAATTAATGTTTCATTTTAAATTGTAATTTTAATAAATTTTAATACCATTTTACAATATAATGATTTATTTTCAGATTTTGAAAACACTTATTCATCATCCAGAATACAGTACAGACCAACCTATTAAGAGCGGTTAGTGTTTTTAAATTTTTTATTTTAAAATTGTCTTTTATTTTTTATATTTGCTTAAATTAAATTATATTAAATTATTATATTATATTAAATATTAAATTAAAAACACTAATTCATAAGCAATATAAAATGTTTTAAATTGCCAGTATCTATAATCTCAATTCTTGTGTTTTAAGAAAATGAGTTGTGCAATAAAATTTTTAAAGATAGATCTATGATCCTGATGATTACATGCACAAGCATATCATGCTTAACAATTCAGAATCATGCACAAAAATTTTGTCTATTTCTCATCTTTCAAGTGTGGAGTTCCGAATTTTATTATAATACTAGCAGGCATTTGAAGCAATCATGTTGTTAAAACATACATAATATAATTTGTGTTAAATTGCTTTTATGTTGCAATGTAGATTATATTTGTTTTCATTACAGTTAAATAGTTTTAAGTATGTTTAAGAATTGGTATATGTTAATAAAGTAAAGAATTATTTTAAATTATTCCTGTTGATTGGCTCTGCACAAAATTGATATTTAGGATGAAACATTTGTAGATTGTAAAAATTTAAAGACAAAACAATTGCAGCTGGTAGGCTAGAACTACAGTATATGGTAGCTTATGATAAAAGTTTATATACAAGGTACCAATATATTCATTGAAACATTAATCAAACTACTGTTTAATATATGATATACACATTATATAGATCATACAAAAAGGAATGTGAACAATAGAATCTATATAGGAGAAAAATACAACCAAAAATCCAGCTCATGAAACACAATATTGGAGAAAAACAAATGTTTTCAATTGCTTTTAGGACAATCATCCTCAAGTTAAAGAACTTATTCAGAAACATGTATCAGAATAGAATATATGATGGAATATAATAATTTAAAATATAATACATTATCCCCAGCTTGGAGGAAATTATTGTATATTTAATATTAATTTTACATGTATATAATTATATCTTGATACAAATGCATGACATCTGATGGCCAATCAGATGCTTGCTTTATATTTTAAATTATTATATTCCATCATATATTCTATTCTGATATATGTTTCTGAATAAGTTCTTTAACTTGAGGATGATTGTCCTAAAAGCAATTGAAAACATTTGTTTTTCTCCAATATTGTGTTTCATGAGCTGGATTTTTGGTTGTGTGTTTTGAATATTATGCAGTATTTAGTTGCATTTATCTATATAGGACATTTACTGAAGATTTTTAGTAGTCACTAGATCATCTTGGTAAGAACTAAATTATATCTCAGGTCTACTGGTAAGCATTCAAACCAAAATCAATACTTGTGATAAAATTCTAACAGTTTATGTAGCATGTCATCATGATAGCACTGTTATATATATATATTATATAATAATTGAACACTATACTACACCTTTGTTTATACTGTGCCATTTTTATCAGTTATATAGTATTGACATTTTAGTTGTTGAAAAAAGTACATGGTATAATGTATTACCATATTTTCTTGGAATAGGAATGGAATTAACTGGCATGCTGCATATAAATGGTGGAGACCAACATGCCAATGGTGGAGACCAAGGCTACCAATATGTCAGTTAAATTGCAACTAAAATATAAAATTAATTGGATCTAATAAAACAGTTGTTAATTAAATGTGAAAGAAAACATTCTTTCATGTACAATGCATCTTACTCTCAAATTTTACACAAAGCTGATGTTAATGATGTAAGCTGAGATAATTTAGCCAGTTTCTTAAATTTAAGGTTTCTTTTTGCATTTATGAATCTAATAACAATAAAATACACATAAAAAAAGCACTTTTGGAATTCCATGAGTATTTTACATAATTAGAAAGAAGACAAAATTAAGAAATTAAAGATATAATCATAATTTTTAATGCTCGCAGTTTTAGAACAGAATTTGTTTGTTTTTATGTGATGTAACTTGTTTGTTTTTTTAATGTGTCATCTAGAGAGAATTGTATAACTTCACATAAACTGGCATACTGGTCTTTACCACATGGAAATATCTGATTTTTTGGTCTCCCCAGATAGACCAGCATGCTGGAAAATCCATGAAAATACAGTATTATTATTTTCTGTTAAATAAGTTTATTAAATATGAATTTTAGTTGCAAGTGTTTGTGGCTACGTTAATTGGAACACAGCAATTGTTAGGAGCATTGTTCTGTTGTTTACCACTCTGATAAAGACATACTACTCGCCACATAAGTTGACTTCTAATTTTGAAGAAATTTTTTCCAGGCTTAAAATATTGACTTACATACCAATATACACAGTATGGTTGAAATTCTAGTTTTTTTTTTTTTTACAATCAAAAATTTTTTTTAACAAACAAATTACTGGAAAATGTTGAAACATTGTAAAAGTATTTTTAAGTAATAAATTTCTTAGAACATTTAATTCATAATGCATATTTTAAAATATTTTGTAATTTGTTTATTAAAAATTTTTTAAATAGATTTAGCTGGCCAGTTTTTATTGAATTATTTACTTGTTAGTCGAAATAATGTGTCTGGAGTTGAAGCTTTATTACAAGAACTGGATAAAATGGTGAGTGATATTTTATTAAATTTTCTTTCAGACTCTTTCACATTAATAAATATCAGATCTATTTATGTTTTGGTAATCAACTCACTATGTCTATTGATTTGATTTTAAAATTTCATAAATTTTTTAACTTATAAAAATAAATGTAAATGTAAATTAATTTTTACATTAGAGTGTCGCTTATCCGAATCAATTGGGGACTGGGGTTATTCGGAAAGTCGATATTTTGGATAACCAATTATGTACAAAAAAATATATTAACCTATCCCATGTTGAAATTTTTCTCCGTTGCATGTCGCTTTGCGTTGAATTTTCGTCTATGTTAAGCCTAATGTAAACTTCTTAAAATAATAATCGTGACTATTGTATCGTTAAAAATTATTTTTTTATTTTGTACAAACAAAATAAATATATTGAAAAATATAAAAACAATAGAAAGTTATACTTCAGAAGTTAATTTAATATCAAAAACGTAAAATATTTGAGTAGCCCAAGACATAGCCAAAGATTGCAACGCCACAGCACTGGCGAAAATTTAAATTTGCCGACTGGAATTCTTTCAGATAATTGACTTTTGGATAATCAACACTCTACTGTATTATATTTTTTAAAGTATAAACAATGTAAAAATAAATTAATTTTTTCCGTATTTTTATAAACTCAATGAAACCTATCTTTTATAAATTTTCTATGCTATGAACTTTTGCGAAAAGACTGCAGACTCTCATCTGTTACTGGTGTTGCTAGTTAGTTGCAAGTTTCAAAAAAGCTACAAATAAACAAAGATTATTTGTAACTTTGGTTTGAATTACATCATAAAATGTTGAGCATTGAATTATTTAGTTTTGATTCTTTTAATGTGTAGAAATATTAAACTACTAAAGAATAAAATACATTATTATTAATAACACTACAGAAATCATAGTAAAAAACCATAAAAGGGGAGAATGAAACATTTATATGACTTACTGAAAATAAACCTTGTGTTCCATATTTAGCAATAAAATTTTTTCATATCTTTATTTTTGGATGATGATGATAATGAGAGAAAACTTTTCAGAAACATGTATTGTAAAACAGCCAATGCTTCACAAGATTTCACAGAACACAATTTGAATACTGCTTTTCTAAACATTTAAATATGTGGACATTTTTATTGAAAAAAAATTGATACAACCATTATTGACAAAATGTTCTGTTATTAATTTTATAAAAATTCAAGAAATTTATTATAAAATTAAGAAATTAGCATAGATTCTTAATTATAAGTCATCCAAAACAAATATTTTCCATATATTTGTAGCTGTTAAAAGCTCATGATGGATTTGTAACTGATGAGCAATACTTTCTGTTGCAATTGCTGTAGCATTAGTATCAGTCATAATTTTATTTTTCTCCAATATAAATTTTAGTATGAATTAAAGTTTTTATTGCTTAGGTATGTTTATTAATTTTGTTCTGTGCAATTGTGAATCAAAGACAAAGATTCTATTGTATATTTTTGTGTTCATAAAATAATTTAGAATAGATGTTAATATAATTGAATATATTTAACAAAGGGTACGTTTGTAAAGTCAAATGAGTTAAACATGTTAGTAATGAATCCTTCGAATAGTAATAGTCTCACCCAGTGCACACTCTCTGCGGTGATGACGTTTTGAACGAAACTCTAACAAAGTTCATGAAGGAAAGAGTTAGTTTACTTCATTAATTAACCCCTTAAGGACATTGAGATTTTTGATATTTTATAATCATTAATTTAATTAAACGTAAAAAATACTTAAAACTGAAAAAAAACGAAAGAAATGCGTTTATTTTGAAGAAAAAGCTTCAAATTTTATTTTCCTTTGTCTCACCTTTCTGTGAAATATAACAACAATGAGTCATTGTTTACACAGCTGGATGACCTTGAACACAGCTGGAGTCAGATTTCCCGGGACATTCTCATACGTCTCGGGAGGACAAGGGTATTAAAGTAGGGTGACTATGAGCAACATGTATATTTTTAAATATTTTTAAAAAAATTAAGATTTTAATTGCAATTTCCAACCCCCCTAATTAAGTAAATTTACATATAATAAAATCGATTAAGATAAGCGCCACTTGTGTGCTTATTTTAACATCGCGCATGTTAAAATGCCTCTAGTCTGGGAGTCCGTTTTTTTTTTTTTTCCATTTCGCCTCTTCGGCGGGATCCGTAGGTGGGTCGTCTATTAACAGATTTCCTAGATCTCTACTTTCTAGGATGGCCATTATACGGTACTTCCAGCTTGTGAAATTGCTACCCGTAAACTTCGGTAACTGTCCATGTCCTATTTCGGCCATTCTATTCGTTATAACGGTTCGGTTTCTAAGATAGCAAATTTAGNAAAAAAAAAAAAAAAATGGGGGGCCCAAATGCCCGCGTTTTTCGTAACGCTATGTAACTTGCCCGAGTTATCTCGGGTTATGGTCTTAAGGGGTTTTTAAGAAAATGGCGCCTGACGATATTGATGTTTCTAAATCTACTCAAGTGTTTAAATTGTGAATTAAAAGGTGAAATGATTGAAATAACTGTCCACCCGAATCAATCTAGTAAAAATATTTCAGATAAGGCTGCACTAACAACATTCATATCTTCGATTTTAGAAACATCCATTTAGTTATAAACGAATCGTTCAAAAAGTCTAACTAAATAAGAATAACAATAACATCATTCTCATTTAATTCATTTGACTTTACAAATGTTCCAAAACTTTAAAGTTTGTTAATAATAATTTTGACTAAAATTTGTATTTCTAGGATTTGAAAATTTCAAATAATACAGCTGATATTATACTTGGAAAATTAAAAAATGAGTTATCAGAACAGGCTACTATGGTAAAATAATTTATTTAAATACTGATAACAATTTTTTATGAATTTACATATTTTTTTATTTTATACATTTCATGTAGCTTCTTGAGAAAATTGCAACTGATTCTTTTATTGAGGAATATGATGACCACACAATTCTTCCACATCCAGTAAGTTACTTTAAATATATTTATTTATTTATGATTATTTTATCTCAAAGCTATTTTATTTGTAATAAAATATTAGATTACAAACTTAGCCTTGGTTAATTGGCTCTATCATTTTTTACATTATCATCACCTTTAGAATGAAGTAATAGCAAAATCTTATAGGCATGATGTCTTGAATAATATAAAATTTTAGTTTATACAGATAATGTGTAGGTTTATACATATAAAAAATTCAGTTTGAAATCAGGTACAGTTTATGTAATGGAACTGTTTATCTATCAATTTTGCAATTAGCAAATTTATTATGAAGTAATACAGCTTTTCCTTTATTCAAAGCCATTTAGAACATTTTTAGAAAATGTGAAAAATCCTTTGTATGCTAAAATATTTTACCATGTTAAATAAATTCACTTGTAACTATCACCTCTTTCTCAGCAAATGTAACTAATTATAACAACACACCTGAATTTTTTGCCAAGCATAAATTATTTTATTCTCAAATGTTTTCAACCTACTTATTATAGGCCATCTTCAGGCTTACGATTACCATTCCAAAATGGAACTCAATGTTTTTTGAATACGTTTCATTTTAAATTTAAAAGATTTTTACAGTATTTGTGTATATTAAATAAATGGGGACTGTGATGGATTTTGAAAGTCTATATCCATCAATGAATCTAACATCTTGTTTTAATGCACTCATTGAATTCATGGTCCAACACAATCCAATGTTATCGATGTATTTGGAGGAATTAAATAATCTAGCAGACTTGATGTGCTACCAATCCTTTTTTAGATTCAACGGGGTGACATACAAACAAAAGAAAGGTGTTCCAATGGGAAGTCCCATGTCAGGACTCCTTTGCAAACTAGTAATATGTAGACTGGAAAAAGACATCCTCAAAGATTTCTTAGAGGACATTATATTCTACAAACATTATGTCGATGATGTGTTTATAATTTCGAAAGATAACCAACAAATTGAAGACTTTTTACTTGTAATCAATAACACTGGCCATGGGTTAAAACTAAAATTAGAACAAAAAAAACTATACTCGTCTTCATTTTTTTAGACATTGATATAAAATTTAAACAAGGAAATGTACAAACAGGTATATTTAAAACCCATACATGCTCCCCTATATATACCATTGTGATCCAACGATCCATATAAATACAAGTTATCAGCATTTAAGATACTTAGTGCAGTATAAAAATGCTCTTCAAATAACATTCAGGACTGTATTAAGGAGATTAGTAGAATTAAAAGAATTGCAACAAATCTAGGATACAAAACTGCCACAATAGAAGACCTGGTCAACGGTTACAGACAATATAAAGGCAAAAAACATAGTAAAGTAGATGCAATTAACAAATTCACATACAATGAACGTTTAGGAGGAGTGATGAATGAATTGAGTACTTATAAAACCACAAGAATGGTATATAAAAGAGCACCCAACATCTATAGCTTAATAAGGAACAATAAAGACAGCATAATAATGCAAGAGAAAGCTGGAGTTTATAAAATACCATTTGAGAATCAAGAATTAGGAATAACAAAGGATTATGTAGGTGTAACCAGAAGAAACTTAGCAATACGTCTGCGAGAACATAAATGCAACATTAATAAAAGGCACAACAACACCATTTTTGCAGTCATGGCACAGACAGAAGGAGTGAATGTAAAATGGGATGAGGCAAAAATCATTAAAATGGTCAAATCTCCATCCATTGCATTAGAAAGGGTAAAAATGGAAATATATAAAAATAAAATGAAAAACCTTTGACTAAATGCCAAGGATGCTAATACGCTTCCAACAGCATGGAAGTACATGATAAAAAAAGCATGGGGATTAAAAAACCTTAAAGCTTATAGTTGTTATACTTAGCCTTGTTATTTATTTTTTCATTTATTTAATATACACAATTACTGTAAAAATCTTTTAAATTTAAAATGAAACGTATTCAAAAAACATTGAATTCCATTTTGGAATGGTATTCGTAAGCCTGAAGATGGCCTATAATAAGTAGGTTGAAAATGTTTGAGAATAAAATAATTTATGCTTGGCAAAAACTTCAGGTACAGTAATACCCCGAACTTACGCGATAGGTGGGACCGAGCGATAACTGCGTAAGTCGAATTCGCGTAAGTCGGTATAATTTCGCAATTTGTGTAAAATCCAAATTGGATGTATGTAAGCTAATAAATGTTCTCGTTAATCTTATCTCGTCTTTTGATTCGTTCACAGTTACAAGAAATCACCACATAGAGTCTTTCAAGTCTCCGTAGATATAACAAACACAGAAATAAATAACACAAAATAAATTGTAGTTATATGTCGATTCTGCGCGACATGTCCGAATATGTAAGCTGAACAATAGTGTGGGGGGAGTGAATAATCAAGAGTTGCATGACGCTCAAACAAAAGACAAATTGACGAGATTTGAAAATCGTGTAACTCCGGGTATTACTGTATGTTGTTATAATTAATGCACATGATTTGATTTAAAATATGAAAGTTTTTGTTTAAAAATAAAACGTTTTGAATTTTGAGCTTCTTACCTGTTTATTTTTGGTTAATTTTTGTAATCTTTCCAGTATAAATTTATATATATATATATATATATATACACAGTAGAGCATCATTTATCCAAAAGCTGATCAACCAAAACGTCAGTTAACCGATAGCGTTCCAGTCGGATTGTGTCATGCTGAATCAAATGTTTTTGATACTAGATTAATTTCCAAAATATAATTTTTTTTGGTTTTATATTTTTCAATATTTTTATTTTGTTTGTACTAAATAAAGAAATAATTTTTAACGATACAATAGTCACGATTATTATTTTAAAAAATTTATGTTATGCTTAACATCAACGAAAATTCAACATGAAGCAACACACAACGGAGAAAAATTTCAACATGGGATAGGTTAATATATTTTTTCGTACATAATCGGTTGTAAAATCTAAGTGACTCGTACAACATGGAATTCATATAAAACGGAATTATCAACAGTGTTATAGGGGGGTCGACTGTATTTAGATATACATGAACTAGAAAACTTTCATAAAATATTTTTGTGTGACATTGTTATTAATGTGGCTGAAAGATTCTGCCCACCAATCAATAATAATTCTTTAAAGATTTTCTGAATATGTTGATACTTCAATTTTATATGTGTATATTTTAATATAATTTTATCATTGATCAATATTGTAAATATGCAACATATTTTTATTTTATTAGATAATATTTTTTATAGGTAAATTTCTGATGATTTTGACTTATCAAAAAGAAAGTAATATTAGTAAACAACTTCAAAAATGTATTGATTTAATTAATACTTAGCTATTAAATATAATCTATATAATAGTTCTAAACAGAATTGTTTTTTATAACAGAACAAAATGTTGTTTACAGAAGTTTTAATAATTTATTAAATACTTTAGTGTTTTTTGGATCTAATCGCAGTCTACTTTTACCAACATAATCCAATATTTATGGAGATAAAATGTTAATAATTTTAAAATTAGAAATGGTTTTAACAAAAAATAATATTTGTGTTTGGAACTACTGTTGGATTGGTCTTGGAAAGATTTAATAAAAAATGAAAGTTAGATAATTGATAGTCAAATTAATACAAAAGTTATAAAAAAAATAAGAAGTTGAGTATAGTAGCATAAAATTTAATGTCTTTAACATAAAATTGCTGTTAAACATAAATCTAAAGTGAGGAAAGACTCAAAATATTTTAACTATTTTATTTTTTTTAATTTTATAAGAAAATGTTTTGTTGCTATATTAGAAAAGGAATATTTTAAAAATAGATTCTTTTTAAATGAGAAATTTATTTGTCATGGTGTAAGAATTAAATTTTTGAAACATGCTTTTATGAATTTTTGATGATATGATAAGTACAGAGTATTAAAAAAAATCGCAAGGTGGCATATCATATCTAATTTTAAATTTTTTATTATTTAAAAATATATTTTTTTTTTTATAAATTTTTCCTTTACATTTTCAGAGAACAATGGATGTAGAAGAGTTAGAAAACCATCTAATTGAATTAAAGGTTTAATTTTTATTTTTTATCATTTCTTTATATTTCTAGATGAATCTTTTCAATGAAATTTCCTTGAATTGGATTAGTCAATTTTAATATTAAATTAATGTAAAATTTATTAAGATGTCAAGTTAAAGGAAAAAAGGTTTTTATTTGCCTGAAGATTTAATTCAGTGTTTGGTATTCAAATTAAAAATTTAATATTCCACTTACTGAATAAGTGGATCATTTATATTGCTTTGTAATGTTAAGATTTTATTAGAAATGGGATTTTTGATAAAATAATTGGTATATCAAGTTTTTAACAAAACTATTTCATTTATTTTAATGTCTAACTATTAATATTCTTTTAAGATCGTGGCATGGTTGTTGTCCATATTCCTGTGGACCTGTAGTTCCTATTTATTTATTTAATCAGCATATGTGTAGCTCAAAAGTAGCCTAATAGTTATGCTTGTAATTATAAGGAACATTAAAGTTTTCATAAACAATAATAAATAAGCTGTAATAAATGGGCAAGAAATGAATGGATTGAGGAAAATTAGAATTACAAATAATACATACATTGTATTTTTATTTATATTCTTCAGGATTTCCAATAGAATTTCAATGGAAATTTATTAGTGAATTAGTAATTCTTTATATTTATTATTTTACTTAGATAATGTAACTATGCAGGATAATAATAAAAGAAATTATGAAAGTATTGTAAATGAAACTTACTTGAAAACTTCATTTATTAAAAATATTGAGTGCAATATGTTTGTAAACTTTAAATGTACAAAACAAATAAAGAGACTGACTTGGATTTACAATAATAACGTAAATTAGAAACATATTGACTAAATTATAATTTTTGTATATCTTTTAATATTTCTTTAAATGCATATCTTTCAATCTTCAAAAAGAAAAAAGTTTCAAAAAATCAAAAAATTTAAATAAGAACTGTCTATGATATAAATAAAAAGATCTTAATATCAATGCATACAGTTTTACACCTAAAATTTATACTATTAAAAATAATATTAGTTTTAAAAAGTTTGAAAATGAAAGTTTAACTGTATAACTAGGATTAGAAAGAATAAGATATTTTTTCCTCCCTCCAGAGTAAAGGTTTGAATACAAGAGGTGTTCTCAGACGTCTGTTGATGCTACACTGCCGTATGAAGGTAAATAATTTGTGTATTCCTGTTTTTCTTTTTTTTTTAATATTTAATTGTATGTTTTTTTGCATATCTTCATTAAAAACGAAAATTCAACATGAAGCAACACACAACGGAGAAAAATTTCAACATGGGATAGGTTAATATATTTTTTCGTACATAATCGGTTGTAAAATCTAAGTGACTCGTACAACATGGAATTCATATAAAACGGAATTATCAACAGTGTTATAGGGGGGNACTATCCGTCAACCAAAGCCAAATATTATCGGGCTAGAAACGGCTATAATACTAATAATTTAATAGACAATTTGGCATTAGAGTTAAGTGCTAGGCACCATCTCTTGATAAATTTAATAATTATAAATTAATTAAATAAATTGGCAATGCATCTGCACGGTAAGCAAGAGTTGCGGTTTTGAGTCCCGGTTCAGGCCAATTCTTTTCTTCCAGTAATTCTAAATTATTATTTAAATTATTTAATTAATTTATAATTATTAAATTTATCAAGAGATGGCATCTAACGCCTAACTCTAATGCCAAATTGTGTATTAAAATTTTAGTATTATAGTCGTTTCTAGCCCAATAATATTCGGCTTTGGTAGATGGATAGCTTTAATCGTATCAGGTATAGTAAAGATGTTTGATTATTTAAATAATTTTTGGTATTAATAAAATATACAATTGAACTTTCATATCATGAACTTCTATACATTGAAATAATTGAAAAATACCAAAAATAATTTATTTTGAAACATTTTGGACATTATCTGAAGATGTCCCAGAATGAGGCTGAAAACATTTTACAAGAAAATTATATTATTTTATATTTTGTTATTTTTACTTTGTTGGCTGTTATAAATAACAGAAAGAAACTATAGCCATCAGTCAATTGCTTTCAATTTGCCTGAATGTAGGCTATAATTTTATCTTAAGTTTTTTATCAGTTAAATTTTATGACTTACAAAAAAATATATATTTCATTCAATCAGAATAATTTTATTAGTCTTCAGAGAGTTTTTCCAAATTATTGTCATTTAACACAATAATTTTTCTTCAGTTTACGATCATTATATTTTTACAAATTGTCATAATATTACAGTAATGCTGTTGTACTATTATTTGTTGAACCTATATTTCATTGCAGTAGAGAATTATGATATAAATTTAAATAATTAAACATATGACATTTTGTCCAAAAAGCATGTCAGCATGAAGAAATTGGGATGTTCTATGAATATTAGATTGTACGACTGAACTTTGAGTCAACTAACATTGTCAGCTGCTTTTTGCTGTTTTGCTTAGTAGTACTTACCATTTTAATTCTGTGTGGACTCTGGCATAGAATAGTCATCTTTTGAAAAATGCATTTACAGGTCAAAGTAATTAGAAATTACAGGCAGTAGGACTTGAATTCACTGAACTCTTCATAAAATATAGTTGGCCAAGTTCTTTTTGAGAAATACAGCCCTAAACTATTCAACATAAAACATGCTTCACTAGCAACTCTACATAGGATAGAATTCTTTCTTGCCATGTTGAAATGTAGTTTGTCATCTGAGTCATGCAGATTGAATTTTAATTCTTCTAAAAAGTAACTTTCTTCAACTATTCTTCAGACGATATGGCATGTTCCTTGGCTCTTTGAAGCTGCTGCATTTTTCTGGGATGATAATCTTTAAATTCTTGAAATAATCTCCTCCTCATATTAGTGAACTTGGTTTTACTCCACTATGTTTTTTCAAGTCAATTTTCAGGTCTGTGGATGAAAAATGTAACTTTTTGAGACATAAATCCCTCAAAACTATCCTGGCTTGGAGTAAATGCATTTCTTTGACTATTTTCTATTTCTCTTCTGGCTACAGAACTTATTATGGAGAGCTTAGATAGCAAGGGAGACACTGTTGAAAGTCAACTATTAATAAAAACCTAACTGATGTGAAGAAATTTTCTTTACTCAAAATAACAACCACATACTTTTTCTTTGTGTTAACTGTATATACTATTGATATATACTCTCCATATACTAGGGCCAAAACAGATCACTGAATTGTCTGCTTTGCTTTTAAGAAAGATAGATGTTGCAACGTCACCAGTTACTACTATAACACATTTGTACAAATGACATATGATGCAATACATGTGTTTAGTTGCAACAGACAAATATAATGAGTTTTTATAAGTTAAAAATTATTTTTAATTATATAAGTACAGAGTAATAGCTAGGGACAATTACTGAATTGTCAATTTCAAATTAAGTTACTTTTAATTTGTATGAAAGTCTGTTTATTAGAGGAAGATACAAAACTTGACAGTTTAGAAGTTTATTCCATGTTAAAAAGAAATATATTTACAGGATGGAAAAGAAAATAGAATATCTAATATTGTACATATTGAATTTTTAATGTCTGAAGAAATTTTATATAAATTAATTATATATTTATATAATATTTTATTATAAATAAGTAAGTAATCTAATCCTTTAATTATATATATATATATTAATTTTNCACATATTTGTAACCCCATATTAATTTTTATTGACAGACATAGCCAAGAATAAAACAGTTTAGAAAATTAAATTTCTCTAAATACTGTATTATTTATTTAATTTTCTAAATAATTTTATTCTTGGCTATGGCTGTCAATAAAAATTAAGAGTAGAATACTCATTAACATACCAAAAATTCAAAAGTGAAACAAAAAACTTTTATTGGACTTGAATCAGTTAAAGCACACAACACTTTCCTTAGTATATGTAGAGTGTTTCATTTTATTAATCTTATATGATGATAATTATTTCAAAAAGCATTTTAGATCAATACTATTTGATATATTAAAATAAGACTGGTTGATTGTTTCAGTTAACAAGGTTTTTGTTATAAATACATTGTGCTCTCAATTTTTTTAGATTAATAAAAATGTATTGATTTATTTATAAAATGTTGAAAGCTATTGTGTTTTGGTTTATAATTCAGAATTTAGAGAGAGTAATTGAACTTAAGAAAGAATTTGATGATCAAAATAGCTTTTATACTGGCTCCATATATGCCCAGTTAATAGAATTGTTTGTGTATCATAAGAAACTAGATGAAGCACTTCACTACAAAACCCTCCTGTAAGTTGAAATTCTAATGGTTTCATTGTAGAACTTAATTTTATTGACTTTTTCACATTAATATTTTTATGAACTATTTTTAACATAGAGAGAAGATAGAACCTGATTTTCCTTTAGATGATCACAAAGTGTTAAATCTTGCTAATTTGTTGATCAAAAATGATAAAATAGATGGTAAGTTTATGAAATGGTGATAAATTATTAAATTAAAGATTTTAAAATAGATTTAACTAATTGAAATTTGTTACTTATTTTATTGAGTTTACATTACTTTTTTCCTTTGAATATATAGATGCCTTACAGATTTTAGATGAGCATTACAAAAAGTTTGGTTCAAACAGAAGAACTGAAGATGGTTTAGAAAGAAATGTCACTCGTCTTCTTACAACTATTGCCAACAAAGGAGATGTGGATCTTACAAGGAAGATGTTCGATTTGTTAGTTACCAAATATAATTATGCTGTTGTAAGCAATATTGTTCTTGGTCCTTTGGTTAAAGTACATCTTGTTAAGTAAGTTAATTTTTTTTAATATTAATAATAATTTATTTATGCATAAAATATTTTAAGAAATGATAAAGTTAAGAAAAGTAAGAAAAATTCTTGTTATAATCAGGGCTGTGGAGTCGCGTAAAAATCTACCGACTCCGACTAGGGGCAGACTTGTTACCGAAAGAGACCCGGAAATTCTGATGTCGTCACGTGACCTCAGAATAAAATATTCAATAAATAGAGTTGTAATAAAGATAGAGCATAGAAACTTTTTATTCCAAAGCTAAAAGACTTCTCTAAGTAATATATAAATATGTATTCGATAATTTTTACTTTTCCGGCTGTTATATATAACAGAGGAAAAGTGTAGCACTCGGTCAAAAAATGACCCCTCCCAAATTTTTACAGTTTTGGACTTGGGACACCTTGAAATTTCAAGATATGCAAAAGATTCGAGGTTTTTTCTATATGTGTGGATGTTAGACTGTGTG